GGATTACAGTGTAATTTTGCTTTTTCTGTATTTGCCGATATAGTCACAAGCTGCTTCAAGCTCGTTAACTCGTCTTTTGAGCAAGGTAAATCAACTTCAATCGCAAGTTCGTCGTTCATTCGTTTGAATTTCTCAGCATTGTTTTAGATCTGTAAGTTTTCATAATAACTCTAAGAGGTTAAATCACGCAGTGTATTGCTGGCAAGACTTACCTTGAGTATTGACTTCCCGCAGAACAAGAAGGTAAAGAATGGCAGTTGCTGTCTTAGAGTGTACTATTTACTCTCAGATTGACAAGCCCGACGTCGTTTTAGGAAGGAATTTACGGCTGATGACACCAGGATGTTTTTGATAACCAATACAACACATCGAGTTTACTGTATCGGGATATCAAACCGACAACTCGCGTAAAATGGACAGTAGTTCGTAAAATACACAGTAATTAGATGTTCCTCAACACTTGCGGTGTATGCATGGTCATCTCATACTGAATGCATACAACTATTCGGTCTGCGACCAAAAAAGTGCACAAGTTCATTGAAAAGTACGTAAGTTTTTCTGTTGAGACTTGTTTGACCTCGTGAAGCAAAATTAGTGGGTCGTTTTGTTATAGAATGGAACTTCGCAACGAGGTAGTTGAAAAGTACCTGAGCACATGATAACAGCTTCTAACATGTCTACGCTTGCCTCTCCTCTGGGTTTCTTTTTCGGAAGGTCTGCGAGGGGACTATCTACGCTAGATTGGTTACCAAACAGCCCAGGTTATGCAAAGTCGCATGACAGATGTTAGAAAATTGAATTTCAACAGAAAGAGTAATCTCAGCAAGGGAGAGATGACCTTTAGTGTTAAAGGAATGAAATAGTTGGGTTAGCCTCTGCATGTTGTTTCTTTGCGAACAACAGACATCCAGCAGTGTCGCTGTTTGAAAACAGTCAATCTCAGTTTAATCTACATGTTAGGCGTTGGAAACTAACGCGAAGCTTCAAGTTAGTTTCAGCCGTTTAACACCTTTCCAGACACTAGGCTTGCGAGAAGAACCTCAGGCCTGATCAACTCTTCAGACTAGGATAGAGTGGAAATGGTTCAACCGTAGAGCAGCACGTTGCGCACTAAATCGCTATGAAAGACCTGCTAGTGTCAAAGAACTTTTGTAACAATTTGATTAGAAAACTTCAGAAATACGTGGGGGGAAAGCAACGCTGACAGTGCTATATAAAACATGATGTACTACAATCTAGTTGAGATACTGATCAACAGAAATATCTGGAGCCTGTTGGCCGCTCTAGCAGGCACATGCACAAATTCTCGTATAAAGTCCAGGCGTCTGAAGCAAATTATCACCTGCTCTCATTTTTTTTCTCATACACTCAGGAATTGTAATAGCCTTCTCCTGAATGTTGTTAAGGCACAATCTTTAAATTCTTTCCGAACCAAGGTAGACATGTTTTGATTATTCGTATTTTGCTGTTATTATTATTTATTATTATTAGCAAGGCCAACAGGCTTGACATTTTCGGAAGCGTGTGAGTCTTTAGATAATTAAATAGTTTAAGACCTTCAAAACAAGTTTGGCAACCTTGAATT